ATTTTATACTTTAGTAAAGATAAAAATATATTTAGTAGGGGCACATATAAAATTAATTTTAATAAGCAATTAGAAAAAGTATTTATAAAGAACACATTGTAAAAAGGATATTTAAATATTTTTTTACAAAGACCACATAGAAGGAAAGATATATTAAAGATTTTGAGAAAAAATATTTGAATAAGGACAAGTAGAATAAAAAGTTATTTTCATGATACAAATTATTTCAATAAAGAGAGGGGGACTGAAAAATACAAAATAAGTACACCGAAAGTTTAAAATAGTGAATTGTGAGAGGATGAATAGTAAAATCTTTCCCAATGAATAGATTCAAAGGTATTTGAATATGAAATCATTCATTTAAAAAGTAAAAATAATTTAAAAAACTAATTAAGTCTTAGTATTTTTTATTGTTTTTTATTTGAATCATGTTTTCACATTTTATTGAAAAAATAGAGAAAAAATGTGCTAAAAATTGTTTTTTGTGGAAAAATACTTTTCCCAGTATTTTTGGACATTTCCAAAAAAATATCTTGAAATTTATAAATATTCACGATTTCACGGATATTTTTGGACATTACGGCTATTTTATGGACACGCTAGGAAGAATATCTTTCCTTCTCATTATCCATGTTGAGACTGTTAAATAATAATTTTTATCATTATTATTATTATTAGTCTTTTTTCTTTAGTATGGGTAGAATAATCTTTATATTTATTATGCAAGTCTATATATAAACCTTATTTTCTGATGTACTTTATTCAAGCAATTCATCAGTAATATGAAACCCTACTCTATTTTCTCTCTATTTTCTTCACATGATATCAGAGCCGCACAGTTTTGGGAATAATTATTTCGCTCACTCATATTTTTCTTAGTTTATTGGTAAGATAAAACCCACACGTCATGATGATCAAACACTTTCACTTAATGTGCTTAATTCAACAGATGCTCACACACGCATCACGTGATCAGAATCGTCAAAAAAACATACACCGTTTTGATTGGTCCTAAATTGTAAAAAGTTTCAAGTTGAAAGGGTCAATTGCCAGAGAAAAAGAATAAAGACCAAATTATTAAATTTAAAAAGTTCAGAGAGTGTCCGTGTAAAAAAAATCTTTTTATTATTTCATTGTCGTTTAGTAAAACTTCATGAAATGACTTTAGAAACCGTATGTTTTTGTTGAAATTTAGAATCCGTGTCTTTTAAGTGTAAGTTTGTAATCGTTAATTTATTTAAAAGACATCTCGTTTATTTTAAACCTTGCGGGCTTGAAGAAATTAAACATATGTGGTTGGCATTGCGATTTTATTGTCGTTAAATTATAAACAACATATAGTTTTAATACTGAAAGCGTGTTTTCTCCTTTTGCTCAGAAACGAGATGTTTTTGGTTGAGAAGTTAGCTTAGCCTAAGTTATAAATCAGTGACGGAGTTAGTCCTCAATCTCACTAGAGGCATAATGATACACTATTTTTTTTAAAAAATAACATGAAAAAATATAAGGATGGAGTTTCTCTGGTAAGCTTAGAAAAAATGAATTACTAATAATAATTCTCTACTTTCAATTATCAGATATGTATTAAAAATTATTTTGTTATGTATATTTTTTTTAATGTGATATGATTTATAGCATGTGTGTATAATTATTTTGCGAATTAACGTGCCGTTCGAAAAAAAATATTGGTGTGCATCGGTGGCAAAGTGCAAACCTTGTTGTCATGACTCATTACTTTTTCAAAAAAAAAAAAAAAAAAAAAGAAAAACCTTATTGTCATTTGATCTAGAATTCCTATCCGATATAAGGGGGGGAAAAAAAAGAAAGAAAAAAATTAAGCCCCCCAATCAGTGCCTACGTCCCTGATAAAAAGGTCAATCAATATACATCTACAAGCTATGTTAAATATTTTTTCCCCTTTTTTAGGGTTAAAAAAAAAAAAAAAAAAGAGTCAACCCATCGCAATCTGTCTATATGTCATCTTAACTTAACCCATCTTAACTTAACCTCATAAAATTAGTTTTATGTTAACCGTCTTAATTAAGATCAATTATTAATTATCTGACAAGTGGACAGCAGTTAGTGACCTCACTTATAAACTACAATGTTACACCCAATGTATTATAGTCCATCTACCGGCGAGTTATGTGCGTTCTTTATTTTTGTGCGTTTATCAACAAACTGTCAATGATATATTGTATTTTCATGTAGTAGACCATTGCAAAAGGAATGCAACTCAGACTACAAACCCAGTTCTAAAGAAACTTTTTTTTTTTTTTTTTTTTTGAGAATGAAAGAAATTAATCTTTAAGAAAACTTTAACAAAATTAATTACACGCCAAAAAAAGGGTGTATAATAAAAGTGATACAAGTGGTGCCAACATTGAATTTATATGTGAATAATTACGTATTATAGATTGTCATATAAGGTTAAGTCCATTTAAAGTGGTCTACTTATAAGATTTGGGTAATTTGAGCTTTAATGTATATAATAAGGTGTGAGTCTTTAATGTGTAGAGACTTAAGGATAATTTTTATTTTTATGATGGATTAAAATAAAAATACCAAAAGATAACAGGAAAGTTATCTGTATATAGTGGTTATGATCCCCAGATCACACACATTATTATTCTATTTTTTCTGACATCTCATCATCAGAGAGAGTGAGCAAAGAGAAAACTAAGGATTTTCTAAAAAAACGTGTTGATCTAGAAGATTAACTGCATGGCTCTAGAAAGTAATTTATCATCATGGATTCAGGTACGCTTCCGCTTATTGATCTGTTGATTTTTTGTGATTTAACATGAATGTTCCTGAATTTTGAGAGATGTTTTAAATCTAAGGATATTTTCTAACTGTGCTAGCTAAATATTGGTAGAGAAATCCCAGACTTAAATTTTGGGACAGTTAGCAATGTATTTAAAAAAAAAAGTTGTGATTCACTTTAGAAAAATGAATTAGTAGAAATTCACACCTATACGACAGTAGTTTTTCTCTTGAGAGTAGTTTCTCGTTTAACAAAATGGCACGCCATTTGTCGTTTATGCAACAAAAACGACATGTAAACAACATGCGTCAGAAATTACATTCTTACTAAAAAAAAACAAAAAATGACATGCAACTTTCCTGTCGTCTACAAGAAACGAGAAGCAAATCCATTTTAGAACGTTGTCTTTATACCAAAAAAACGAAACACGGTTTGTTGTCTCCGAAATTCAAAACAACATATCGTTTTGCACTACAAGGACTAATTATCCTTTAAGCAAATTTGGAGGGCAAAATATATATATTTTTATTTTATTTTATTTTAACAAAAAATGACAACGTAGTTCATCATAGAAAGCCCCAGAGGCCCCGCCTTAGAAAGTAGAAATGATGCCTTCGTCTAAAAGTCATTGTTATTTGTTAACAAATCATGTCATTTTTAGTTCAGAATTAGCATTGTCCGCCCGTTTTACATGTCGTTTGTCTGTTGACAGATTGAACGATGTGTCGTCGTGTAGATGACGATCAAGACAAAAACCGACAAGTTGTTCATATTCATGAAGGTTTCATTCTTTTCATCACTAAAATGTAAAGTATAATTTTTTTTAATTAATATGTCGTTTTTATCACTAAAATATCAAGTCTAATTTTTTTAATCAATATGTCGTTTTTCTTTCTCTTTTTTTTGAATAGGTAATTTATATTTTAAATTAAAAAATACACACACTAATACTGACCTCATATACAAAGATACTAAACCCAACAGGAGACTAGTATCATCAATACAATCTACTAACGCACAAAGGATAACAAAACATGCGCCTAGTTCCTTCAATAAAAAAACACATGGACGAACCAAATTGAATGACTCTTTTAAACGGACTCCAACAATCCACGGAGAGCTCTAATTAATCAAGAGAAGAGACCTACAACACTTAGTGCTTGTTTTTTTAGAGTTTAATTTGAGTATAATTATTGAGTTGAATTTGAATTATAACTTGAGTTGAACTTGTAACTTGAGTTTGTGTTTGGTTGTGTACATTTGAGTTATGATTTGAGATAAGAATCTTTTTGAGTTTGTATTTGAGTGAGTCAAAACTTGAATTTGTATTTAGATAGTATTTTAATAAAAACCAATGCTGATGAAAAATTTTAATAGGGTATATGGGTCGGGTTTTATTCGTCTTTTCGTTGTCAATGCATAGAAAAAAAATCATCTCAATCAGAATTAAAACGAAAAAGTTATAGCATTTTTAAGAATAGAAAAAATACTATTCATTAATTTGAGTTCGAGTTTCTGAACTCAAATTGAAGGGAAAACTTGAACTTGAATTTTAGTCCTAAACTCGAGTTTAAACTTAAAAGAATATAAACTCGAATAAAATTATAACTCGAGTTACATTTTTTTTAATTTTTCACTTAAAAGAACAGACCCTTAAAGTCAGTGACAAATACTGCAAAGAAATGAACTCTTACGGGTCACCTCATAAAATCAAACTACATAACACTGAAGCGACGAGGATCCGATCATGTTTTATTAGACAACAACAAAAAAAAAAAAAAACAAACAAACAAAGGTATCACCACAGCCCGAAAAAGATAAACCCGACCACCACCAGAGAAACTCCTTTCTACAGCGAACTGGCCTTGAACTCTGCTCACCAATTCCAACTTTCGGCAATCGTGATCGCAACCCACGTAGGCCAAGATTTGTAGACTATGCACCACCTTCACCTAGCCGATCATCATCCTCTAGTCGCAATCTCCTCTGCTGCAAAACGAAACTGTATGTCGCCCCCTCCCCTAGGCCGGATTTCAGCCAAAGGGAAGAAATGGGAGGGCGGTACAATAAGAACCTTATGAAAAACCCTAGCAGAGAGTGTATGAGAGAGAGCGGGAGAGAGAGAGAGAGTTTTTGTCGTTTTTCTTTCAGTGATACATAATTAACTTTTCCTTTGTTTCTTTTCTACTAGAAAAACTCAAAAAAAAAAAAAAAAAAAAAAAAAAATCTCTGATAAAGGCATTTGGTTGGTGATACTGATATTAACCCAGTCATTAAAATTACATGAACATATACAAAACTCTACATGCTGGTACTTATTCCATTATTCAACAAAGCTTGCTAATCCCTATCGCCTTTCAAAATTTAACACCTTAATAGAAACAGCAAATATGAAGGCGAATATCACAGCAATGAAAACATTGACAAAAGCGACAACTCCTAGAAAATCATGTCTAAACCCAAGATATCGCCTCAGAAACTCTTGCGCAGTCTCGCCCGACTCAAGAACATCCTTCACATCCCCGTACTGCGACACCACCAGTCCGTACAAGTTCCACGCAACAGGACACGCCCAGTAGTACCATCTCCACCATATCGGAGTCCTCTGTTCCATAAAATAAAATAAAAAATCATAAACAGATAAGATAAAACGACAGAAACTAAATTTCGATCAATCTTAAGGCTAAGAAATTGAAAGCGTAGGAATTTCAAGAAAATAAAAAAGAATTGAATTCCACGAAATTAAGTTCCAGAACTCCAATGAAGTGTTTGCTAGATACTATTATGCAGTCTATTTTGCTGAAAAATCAAAAGGAATTGAAAAAAAAAAAAAAGTGGGGTTATAAAAGTATCTTATGTGAAGTAAGGAATTAAATTAAAGTAATGGTACATCCTGTAAGCATGTTAATTAATTAGTTAGTTCCGATTTTTCAGGGAAAGTAGTTTTATTGTGTAGTACTTAATTTCTCATGGATTGCACGTCATTTTATTTCCAAATACGTAAGTAAACACAAGAGTTTAAAATCAGAAATTTAATTCGCTTCCCTGACAAAATTCGGATTATTAAAAGGGATATGAATCTTACACTGAGAGGGATGATGAAACCGGAGAAGAGGTTCCATAATCCATAGAAAGCCCCGGAAATGATCGAAGCAATGTGATAATTTGGAGTCACAGCAATGGCCATCATCCCGTAGAAGGTGAAGTGGGATAACGAGAAGAATATGAAAAAAAGGTACCATAAGAATTTTGTAATATTCCACTCAAAGCCGATCATTGTGTAGACTATGACGCTGTAAACCACGGCTTGCATAACAAGATATGGAATCTCAATAATAACCTGAAACCAGAGAATTGGTAATCGTTTGTGAATTTGCATATGGTCAAACTATATTACCACGTATACAATGTTACTATTGCAAGTAGTAAAAATAAATAAATAAAAGATCTATCTGTGAAAAATGTATTGTAAAGTTGTGCTCTGACCCATAGACAACATATCGACTCTTGGGATTGGATGTTCTAGTTTTCTTTATATAAAAAGACGAGTCGTTTTTGGGAGTACTACAAAAGTTAAGGAGGGGAAAACAAAAAAAAAAAATAGTCTGAGCATTACGCAATTTTTTCTTATAATGTTGCTTTTCATTATATTGAATTACTAGAGAGGCTACAAAAACATTGTATGGAGAGTGAAACGTACGAAAAATGTTGTTATTACCTGTGCAAATGTGTAGGGGAAAATCGAATACATCCTCGCGGCTCTTTCTCTATAAAAGACTGTTCTTTCAATTGCAACTACTGGTTGTACGGACGAAGCGTTTTGGACACCAATGAAGGGGGCAGCAACATACATTGTTCCCATTGCATTGATTAAATTTTCTTGCTTTTTCCTGCGGTTTGCTGTCCAAATGTTAAGAAAAAGAATAGTCTCAAGATGAATATCACTTTCTTAAACTAATTAGTTTGTGTATGACTAGCCTTTTAGACCCGAGGTCCCAGAACATCGTCCCGAAGATCAAGGCTATGAGAGTGCTGAAGAGGAATCTGACGGCAGTGTAAGTGGGGTTGCGCCAGTATGACAAGTGTTGTTTCCACAAACAAGCCATGCATTGGGTGAGGGATGATTGTGAATATTCGGTTGAGAAATGGAGATCCTTTGAGCCAGGAATAGGTGTGCTCAATTCCTTGATAAGTTCTTTGTTTCTCCTGATCAAATTAAAACAAATTTAAGCTGCGTAATCATGATAAGGCCCTTTTAGCATCTATACTTCCATGTCATTAAGTTGGACGAACCTGAAAAGTTCTGAATTCTTGTATATATCAGCAAAATTCACTCCAAGTGCTATTTCTTGTGCTGAAGTTGTAACTTCTAACATCCAAGTTGTTGGATTATAGCCATCTTTTATCTTATTGACACCTTCAATTGCCTTCATAACAAGAAATTAAGGATGTTTATATTTATAAACTTAGTGAAAGAATTCAAAACTAAATTTGGGGTTCATCTTATCCAATTAATGCATCATACCTCGAAATAATTGATTAGATGACAAGATTGGCGACCTAATGGCCCAACATAAATTTCTTGTCCTCCTCTCTTCATGAGTAATAGCTGCAACCATATGTTTTAATCATCATATTGAAATTTTTAAAGTGTTTAAAAATGAACAAAACAAAAAACAAAGTTTCTTACCTCATCAAAGGCTTCGAAGATGTCGATACTTGGCTGATGGATAGTGCACACAACTGTTCTACCGGTGTCCACCGTGTTCCTAACTGTTCTCATGACAATGGCAGCAGCTCTAGCATCTAACCCTGAAGTTGGCTCATCCATGAATATAATTGAAGGGTTTGCCACTAGCTCAACTGCAATAGTCAACCTTTTTCGCTGCTCAGTTGAGAGACCATTGATGCCAGGCAATCCTACAAGTGCTTGCCTCAATGGATTGAGTTCCACAAGCTCCATCACTTCCTCAATGAACAACTGTTACCATTTGCAATATTCAATCATCTGTACTAGCTATTACAAACTGCATATAGTTCTTTTGACAAATAGTTGGTTAATTTTGAGCTTCAATTTTGGTAAACCTTCATTAGTTTTTTCTTACGATACTAACCAAAAGCTATCAAGCCAAATTCATATGATTATGAATCTCTCATTTTGGGTTTGAAAAATTCCACTTTGAGCATGAATCCCTAGATAGAAGGCTATTACGGGCAACACCAACCTTTCTGGTTTCAGAATCAACTTCAGCTGGGAAACGAAGCCATGCTGAGTAGAGCAAGGATTCGTAAACAGTAACATGTGGTGAATGGATGTCATTCTGCTCGCAATATCCGGAAATTCGGGCAAATGTTTCTTGCTTCTTAGGGTAACCAGAAATTCTGATGTCCCCATCAATGTATCCACCGGTTTTCCTACCAGCAAGAACATCCATCAAGGTGGTTTTACCAGCACCACTAACTCCCATAAGTGCTGTCAAAACACCAGGCCTGAAGCTGCCGCTCACACCCCTCAGAAGAACCAATTTATCTTCTAAGACACCATGATTCTTCATTTCCTGCATGGTCGGTTAGAAGATTAGCACTCAAGCTGCATCTCTTGTGGATTATTTTTTGCTTTGTAATTCCACATTATGATTGGTTTCTATATTATATATCGGAATTGCCTGTGGCATGTCGACTGAGTATGTAATATCATAAAAGGAGATGGAATGTGGTTCAAAAGGAAGAATCATTCCTCTTTTCTTGTTCGAATTCTGTTCAGTAACTCTGTTCCTAATTTCATCTCCACACCCTGCATGTCGATTAAAATTCAGTCAGCACCTCAGGCTAAGAATCATATGGAAAACTGCACTTCTACACATTCCTATGAATCAAGATTTACCTTTCTGCATTTCGCTCGAGCAACTTTCCTCGTCTGATTCAACAACTTGTGGATTCACAAATGCTGAAAAGTCATTCCCATCTTGATATTAGCACAAAAAGTACTTTACTCTAATTATACAGTTGCATAGACTGAGGAAAAACAAACTCACGATTGAGGTAAGTAAGAGCTATAGTGAAACAAATGTTGAAGAGAAGGATGAATCCAATCAATGCTCCTACGCCAATCCAATACCAATACGCGTGAGGAAAGAAACCTCGGGACTTCATAACTGCAACTCCTAGGGGCTCTGTTGAGTTTGGTGCAACCTAATTTTATAAGCAATTTTAGATTTAAAATTCAGTTTGTAGTTGAGAAAGATAGCTGATAATGTACAAATGATTGGTTCCAAAGATTTATTACATGGCTCCAACTTTTCCCAGAGAACTCGTTGATTACTACCGCATTCTGGCCATACATCATAGGCGAAATCCAGTAACCCCAAATCCACCATTTCTTAATCTCATCTGTGGAATAAAAGAAAATGTATTAATTAAGATGAGCTCTCACTAATTGAAAGAAAAAAATGGTTATCTATTGATGAATCTGCTGGACATTGTCTATTGCAGTTACCTCTTGTTAGCACGAATCCACCCAATCCAAAAAGCATGAGGAATGCAAATGATCCAAATGTGCCGGCAGTAACCACGTCTCTGGCAGTAGCTGCAAGAAACCGGCACAATCCAGAGGCCATCTGGCTGATAAGTACTAGCAAAATATATTGCTTAAACATCCTGCAATACGTATCATTGGAGATCATTAAAGAAAAAAGGATACAATGCTAAAAAAGCCTTAGAAATTAGTGAATAGTAGGTTGCCAGAGTTTTCACTTGTCTACCTTTCAATAGTTGGATCAAATCCAATGGAATAGTAGGTAATCAAAACCCAAACTGCTACTTCCAGAAATGAGATCGGGATCTTGAGAATCCATGTTGGTAGGGCATAAGCCCATGCAGGGTAAAAAAGGAGGTTCCTTTGCTTGTAAAAGACTGGAAGTTTAGCAATTGTCATCGGGAGCTCTGCCGACCCGTTAAACATTGTGGCGGCGACAGAAAAGAACAAAGAACCGATGTAAATTCCACCATCCTCTACTGAGTTGTGACGCATCTCGGTCCTGAAGAATACCGTGACTGCTACCACTGCCAATATTGCATACTAATAGAAGAAAAAATAGTTAAGAATTTGACATAAAAACTTTAGTGTAAAAAAGAGTACTAAGTTGGAATCCTCACATTAGTAAGCTTGAAAATGTAGACGAAGGAGTTTCTCTTCATCAGCAAAAATTCTCTTGAGAAGCAAGCGTTGAGGATGTCCTTCTTGTTAGCACCATATATTTTGGTCGTCAAAGCAGCTCGGTGGTTCTTGCTCTTGTCAAATGGAATTGCAAGCTCATCTCTGAGTCTCGCTCCCACATGGAATGATCGAAATGCATCAGCAAATTCCTTGGCCGTTACGAAACTGTAGGGATCATCTTTTTGTGCCCAGTATTGTTCTTGATCTTTCCTTGACGTTACCTATGATTAAACGGCATAACACACGTAAACATGTATCTTTTTTTGTGTGCAATAAATTGATTGGAGGAGATGGTGAATGAGTCTAACTATATTCGCGGTTACCTCTTGGAGAAAGTCGGCAACACCTTTCCTATCGGGGCATTTAAATCCCATAGCTTCAAAAAATTCAAGCACTTGTTCACGAGGACCCTGATACACAATATGGCCATCAGAGAGGAGAATAACATCATCAAAAAGGTCATACGTTTCTGGTGCTGGCTGGAGTAGAGAGATGACAGCGGTTCCATCTAAAATGTGAACCCATTTCTGCAGCGAATTCACAATTTGATATGTCGTTGAGCTGTCCAAGCCAGTCGAAATCTCATCCATGAACAATGCATTTGCTGCTCCGACTAGCATCTCACCTGTGGTTGAATTGTTTCAAAATATCCAACTAGTTACTTCAGTAGTTAACACACAATAAAACTCCGAAAATTTTGCTTCGTATATTTTGGGTTCTATATACCGGTTGTGACACGCTTCCTTTGTCCTCCAGAGATTCCCCTTAGCATTGCATCTCCTATCATAGTATCAGCACAGGCTTCCAAACCCAGGATCTGTTCACAAAATAATTATGGGAATTATCTGATTCTCTTAAAACATCTCCTATATGTGTGTGTGTGTGTATATATATATATAGACACACACACACACACGATAAATTGCAAAAATGAGAAGGTAAGTGATGTTTACCCTTAAAACATAGTCAGTTACTACATTTGTCTCTTGGCCTTCTGTTGCTGCAGCCTACAACAGTAAGTACTAGAAGTAAATAAGTAGAACCATATAAACTGTGAACCACGTCTGAAATCTATAATTTTATAACAAAATAAAAGTCACCAAGACACCAAGTTCATGCTCTAGGGTCTCTAAAAAAATGTGCCAGAAGTCTCTTACCTTCATGTAGACATCAAGATCTAGATCAGGCTTAATGTTGGCTGCTGCCTCTCTTCTAGACAATTCTGCTAGCATGTCTACAGGGGTTGGAATGACAAAATTTTTAATCAAAGGTTGGAATGACAAAATTTTTAGTCAGAGTTTAAATATTGAACCGGCGGTTTAGTAAATGGATACAAAATTTACTTCTAAATCCTTAACATTATAAGCCAATGATTAAAAAATATTTAATGAACTTCATTCTTATTCCTTTACTTTCTTTTCAAAAACCATTATTTTCCATATTACAGTAGAAAAACCAATTCCGAGGAATGGACTTACCATAACGTGATCCGACTCCTTGGCATCTCGCAGAGAAGGCCAAGGTTTCCCTCACAGTCATTTCTCCGATATGATTGTCGTATTGACTTATGTAGGCGGCAGTTCTTTCGGGTACAAACTCCTTCATGCCATGTCCATTATAAGTCACCCTCCCGGAAAGCTAAAGCAGAGGAATGGTTTATAAAGATTAGAGAGTTTCCACACCTCATATGAAAAACAAGAGGGTATAAAGTGAATGTATGAAATTTCTTTAGTGAAAAATTTTCACCTTCAGATCCTTTTCAAGCCTTCCCGCCAAAGCCAATAAGAGTGTCGTTTTTCCAGAACTTGGAGGACCCAAAAGCAATGTCATTCTGAAAATTTATTTGGTTCACAAAAAAAAAAAAAAAAAAAAAAAAAAAAAAAAAAAGGAAAAAAAAAGAGAAAAAAAAAGGTAATGATGTGCATAGATACATGAATATTCTGTATGTGCTTTAAAAATTAAATAACATAAAATAAAGATGAGACTTTCCCTCCTTCTCACCTGCCGGGCTTTATGATTCCACTAACATCATTAAGGATAGTCAAATGTTTCTTTCTACTTGAAAGAACATGCAGACAACTCAAGAAATGCTGCAGAAAAAATTCATAAATTAAATTGGGAGAAAAATGTAAACAAATAAGAAAATATGAGTTTTTTTTTTTTTTTTTTTTTTTTTTTTTTTTTTTTTTTTTTATTTTAATGACTTTGAAAATGTTACCTCAATTATATTAGTGAAGAAGTTGAGGAATGTAGGCAAAGCTCTGCTTCCCACATAGGCTTCTCCCTCCACATTGAGATGCTCAAATCTCACCTCAATTGTTGGAAGTTTTATTCCAACTCTGGATATAATAATAATCAAATAAACATCATCAATAAAACACATCATAAAAGATGTTCAATAAAAATACAAAGGAAGCATAAAATATGCCTTTCCCTGTTATGAAGGAAATACTTCCACCATAGTTGGCAATGTTAAAAAGGATTAGGAGAAGAAAATCTACCGTTCAATACGATTCTTGAGCTTCAACAAGAACTTTTCATTACCCTCTTCTGCTTCATTAACCAACCTCTCAATCAAATCCTTCCTCTCTTTAAATCCGAGATTCAAGACGTCGATTTCCATAGCTTCGCCACGCGACGAAGAAAGTAATCCTTTCCTCAGACGGTCATAAGTCGGAAGCTTCTCTAGTGCAATCCAACGAAGAGCTTCTTCATCTTCTTCTCTACGCGAAGGCGACCTCGAAAAAATCTCCCCGCCATTGTTCCTCCACATGGAAGCATTGCCACTTTTGAAGCTATTACTAACTCTATAAACATCACCTCTGATCTCCATTTCTCAAACAAAACAAAACCCTGGAAATCTTTTTCAATAACCACGTTGTTTGGAGCGCTTAGAATTTTCAAATGTATATCTTGATATATATAAAGCAACGCAATAAGGACATTAAATAGAAGGACGATAATTACGTGCCAAAACCAATGCACATGCAGGATAAGATTCAATATTTTTTTTTTTTTTTTGAGATTCAATTTTGTTTTTATGTTATTTAAAGAAGGATTTTTATGAGCAAAGGAAATCTGGAGTAGATTCTGTTTTGAAGGCAGTATATATCCCTCTAAACATTATAAGTATCCTGTGGATTCTGTACTTTATTGTCTCTTGGCAATATGTGTGTGACATTATGTGGATGTAATCAAGGCCTTAGATTCTCAAGATCACAAATCCTTTTTTCCGGAATTGGGAAATTATTTAGAGATTACCAGGATCTTTAATTTCCATCCTCAATGAAACCTACTAAAACGTAGGGCTGATTTATAAAGTAGAGACATGAATTCTGTTGCATGGAAATGGAAAACAAAAGCTATCTCGTTAAAAGCTACTCAAAACTGTTGTCAGAAAACTATGTGCCACATTAATTCATTCTAACACGTGGCCAAAAAGCAATGCTTGGTCATGCAACAAGTTTGAAAACCCACCAAATCCCAGATACAGTTTTTTTATGGATGTAAAATGCTTCAGAGTCAAGTCGTCGTTCTTGTTGATTGTTCGTCGTTTAGTGTCGTTGGGAAGTTTCGGTATATGCGTTCCCAAGTATTTCCTTTAATTTATTATGGATTTTGGTCTCTCAAATTAGGTGAGATTAATTTGGTAATAAAAACTCAATATTCTAGAGACACCCTAGTATGAGTACCTGAAAACATTAATTATAGATATGAAATCCACAAGTTTATTGTGAAGAAAATTTGGTAATTTAGGATTCAATGAGATCTCAAGCTTATTTAATATTAGACCTCGTATAACCAAAGTTATGTTTATAATTGGATCAGAAATAAATTATCATTAGAAAATTAATGATATTCACATACAAAAATGTTATTAGAGACGTTAATAAAATTTCTTAGCTCTAATAATGAATATTATTGTCACTTTCAAAAAAAAAATAATGAATATTATTGTAAAAGGTTAAATCTCATGGTAACGGCTTATATCGGTAGGCAACCTTCAAATTTTTTATTTTTTTATTTGAAGCTCTTTTATAATGTATGCATAATCTAAGAGTGTAAATTTGATTTTATATTGGAATTAATCAAAATTAAGAGCTGATTAACTTGAACAAATAATTTTTTACAAATAATTTTTTCCAAATATATTTTTTGGATGAAGAAAATTATGCTATAAAAAAGGGACTTTGGAGTGGGGTGATTTCTTATTCAATGGGATTGGGAAGTTTCTCAATCCAATTAAACACCCCGTATTATAAATAGAACTTTTTAAGGTGTCTGCTAGGTTTAGATCTATTCTGACTTTCATTTAGGATTTCTCTGCATTCCCCTTTAGTGGTAAGGAATCCAAAGCCAAAGAGGATTAAGCCGAGAATTGGTGCCAACTCTTGAAGGTGATCAAAAGATCCTAGAAAGTTCAACGAATATCATATACTAATCGATTAAAGGAGAAGAGAATATCAAGGTTTTGAAATGCTTGATTCTCTGAACTTATTCTGCCAATATGTACAGACGGTTGGAAAAATGGCTTGATAATCCATTTTGAGGTTTGATTTTAAGTAGAACCCACTTTGTATTAGCGATGGGTCATGAATTTTCATTCTCCGTTATGAGAAGACCGAAATAATATATTCATATGCTTAAAATGGTGAACTGGTGAATAATAAATTGACCCTCAAAATACTCCCATGAAGTTGGGAAAAATAAAGAAAAAACTCCTATGAAATTTGGGAAAACTAATGAAAATTCTCTTGTACTGCATGGGAAAAAGACAAGCCATTATCTCCTATAAGCCATACAAAAAGAAACCTTTCATAGCCTTTTTCGAGTCTCATAATTTTTCTCTTGATAAAGTTTAGATAGGTTTTCAATTCGTCAGAGTAGCATCTTTATGCACCTTTACTATCATGTGATGCAAGCACTAATCGGTCTTCATGCACCTATGGTGAGGTCTCAATATTTTTTAGTTTAAACGTTTTTTTTTTTACTTTCTATAGTTTTTATTCATATCGTTGTTATTGTCACTGTATTGTATATTGTTTTGTTAGTATAGCCGTTATATTTCAGTTTCATTTGTACTTTCAGTTCCGTATTTTGCATCTTAGTAGGAAAATTACAACACATATGTCATTTTGTTAAACTATTATAGTAAATAGTAAATTTACTAACAGCAAAAATAAATAGTATATTTTAAAATTTTAATATATGATGTTCTAATTTTATCCTTATTTTTATGTGGTAAATATTGTATTTCCCGATAAATCCTTCATTTACGGGACAAACTCAAATCTTTATCAATTTACTAAAAAAAATAAGTACTGTTTACAACACTAAAACCTCTATTTGACTAGTAAATTCATCGTTTACTACATAAATTCTCTATTTACCAAATTAAACAGATCTGTTTATCGGTAAATAAAGCATTTACAAGGTAAATTTTATGTTTACCAACATCAAAGAGAGAGCTTAGAATCTTTCTCATTCTTTCTCTCTCTACTCCCTCTGTCTGCTTATATCTTTAATTACTCTCTCTACTCCCTCTGTCTGCTTATATCTTTAATTACTCTCTCTCCTCTTTCCTCATGGGGTTCTCTCTCATCCTCCCCCTCACTTCCTGTCATGACGTTGTTTCATTCTTCGTCTTTGATTCATGCCGGATTTGATGAAAATATTTGCCCTTAGTTGTACATCTGCGAAAGTCAACAAAACTCGAGTCTCATGCCGCCAGAGAAGACATTAATCCATGAAGTCACGACCTCATCGCGGTATCTCTGCCCATTGGCAACGGAGATGGACGACAGCGATGCTCGAAATTGCCGCGCATTCACACAGTTGTCGGGACTGGAGAAGAAGAGTTTGCCACCGGATAAGATAGAGCGAGGAGAGAGAGAGTGAAAGCAAAGGGAGAGAGAAACGGTGAGGGGAGAGCAGTGGGGAGGAGAGAGAGGGGGGCAGTAATGAGGGGAGAGGGAAGAGAGAGAGTAGGTAAGTGGAGAGAGAGGGGAATAGTTAGGGGAGAGATTATATTAGTGATGAATTAGGGTTTCTAAAATGAGGGCATTTTGGCATTCTCATATTGCAGTAAATTACATTTACTAGGATTAGGCTTTTTATTAATCTTTTAAAACTTTATACTATTTATCTTTATTAATATTCTAAAAATGTTGGGCTTGTTCTTTTGGAGTTTAATTTGAGTATAAATCTTGAGTTGAATTTGAGTTATAACTTGAGTTGAACTTGTAACTTGAGTTTGTATTTGGTTGTGTACATTTGAGTTATGGTTTGAGATAAGAATCTTTTTGAGTTTGTGTTTGAGTGAGTCAAAACTTAAATTTGTATTTATTTAGTATTTTAATAAAAACTCAATGTTGATGAAAAATTTTAATAGGGTATATGGGTCGGGTTTTATTCGTTTTTTCGTTGTCAACGCATAGAAAAAAAATCATCTCAATCAGAATTAAAATGAAAAAGTTATAGCATTTTTAATAATAGAAAAAATACTGTTCATTAATTTGAATTTGAGTTTCTGAACTCGAGTTGAAGGAGAAACTTGAACTCGAGTTTTAGTCCTAAACTCGAATTTGAACTCAAGTTTAAACTTAAAGAAACATAAGCTCGAATAAAATTATAACTCGAGTTGTCTTTTTTGAGTTTTTTACTCAAAAGAACAAGCCCGTTATTTCACTACTTATCCCATTAGTATATTACTCTTATTTTCAGTTATTCTATTCATCCATTTTATATTTTGCAAACACAAACAAATATTACGAATCATTATCACATATAACAACATAAGTCAAATTCGTTTTTATGAAAAAAATTTCCGCTACATTTTAATGTTTGTAGAACCAATCCACTTCATAGGCATAATTAAAGATATTTAATTGCAGTTTCGGAGCCTTATAATATGTGCTCAATATGCGCAACTTACTATATGAATTGATAATATAAATAAATAAATTTTATTTTATTTTAAAATAATATCATAAAATAAGTAAATATGCTTTCTAAGCACCTATTTTAACACAAACTATTATAAAGCAAAAAGGGAAACAATAAAACAATGTCAAATTGTAATAAAAAAATTTTTAAAAAAAAGTAAAAACAAACCATAACAAGTCAAAACGATACCAAAAATAAAAGTTGAAAAAGAAACTAATTGAGAAAAAACCCGGGCACCCGCTCTTTGATGTTGACCCCGACCCAGGAAAAGAGCCTATTAAGACCCAGAAGGGCTGAAGCTCTCCAGCCCAATTGGCCTATCTAAGAACGTGAACTTGAATAAAGTTGTAACTTGAGTTTAAATTTTTTTTTAGTTTTGTTGCAAAAGAACAACCCCTAAGTATCTTTAAACAATTATGAATTTTTGTCTCTCTTTTATTACTAAGCCCCCTTCAAATTTTTTTAATTTATGATTTGATACAAAAATGTTTAAAAATTTTCATTTACATCTTTATTTTTTTTCTTTTAACTCTACCCTATTACTTCATTTTTTATTCTTGTATCCATTTTTTTTAACTTTAAAAAATTTTATTTAAAATAAAAATTGCAATAAAATATAATGTAAAAAAAAAGTGTAAACATTACTAATTTTAGTTTTAAAATTTGAGTCAACTCAAGCTCCTCTAAAAAAAATTACTGGCTTCATCACTGTCCCAACCCCCTTATCCCAACCTCGATCATGGTCTCGATGTTGACCCCGACTCAAACCTCAATGTTGGTTAGGACAAGTTATTTATTTTTAGGACCCGTTTAGTTCGCTGATTCGAGTTTTTAATTCGAGTTGAGATGTGATTTTATGTGAGAGCTTTTTACTGTAACAAAAAAGTTAAATGTGATTATTTGTGAGAGCTTTTTACTGTAGCAAAACTCGAATTTTAAACTCGAATCAGCGAAATGAACGGGGCCTTAAAGTTTCTTTAATAGGGTTGAATCTTATTACAATCGTATAAAATGAAAAAAGAAATGTAAAATTATAATACAAATTTCTTTCCCGGAAAATTCAGCAAAAATTTCTTTCCCAGAAAAACAAAAACGCACGGGGAGTAGTGCCATAGTGGTTTCCTACTCATTCTTTCACTAGGAGTCCAAGTCGTCCATTAGTTTTTTACTAATTTCATACAAAAGAGATTTTTTGGGTTTCATAGACCACAAATTTGTCTCGTGTAGTACAAGCATGACCGACTGTCGCTTTTGTTTTACCGAGAAGAGTTTGACTAACTTATGTCCACGTTTGATTATTATGACAAATACTATTATTTTTATTATTATCATTATCATTATTATTATTTGTTATTATTTGTTTTGACGTTACTATAATTTAAAATCTTCTTTTTTTTTTTCCGAATCAATTTAACCAAGCTTTTAGGTTAAGTAGTCGTTGACTTTCCTCCAAAGACTCACTGTGACCTATGGGGCCAACTTCTAGAAGGATATTTTCTTAATAGGATAAGGACTTTGATATATATCAACTTCAATAGCGAAGCAAACATTTTTTGGACTAAAAAATATATACCTGTGTTCTCTTGGATTTATAATTGTGGTGATAGTTTGAGTCATATTACATGCTACTCAAATTTTTGTGTCGGTTTTGACCAAGGGATATTCGCGGATCTACTTGAACGTATTAGGGTTAATTTACAATTCAATTTATTACGTATTAGGGTTAATTCACAATTCAATTTATTAGTGTCAATCATAAAAATCTAAATATGTTACTAATTTGTTAGACTCCAAATCCAATTCAATCCACAATAAATTCCGCGGATTAAATTACGCAGAGTATTAATCTACATTTTAGACCTTAATTCTTGTAGTCCATCTCTTTGTTTTCAAAATTTTTCTATAAAATTAATAACAAAATTAAACACAAATATAATATAACATAAAATTAAAATAATATTGAGATTTCATACACAATTACATGTATACTTAAATAATGTATTATATAATTGAAAAAAATATATGCTACATATGTTATTTAGACATATATAATATATAGTTCGGAGTAGCGGATTATGCAGATTGAGAAATGTTCAATTTGTTACCAATTGAAAATTCATTCAATTCAATTCAATCTGCAATAACGGATTGAATTACGTAGATTAATCGGATTGACGGATTTCATAAACACTTATAGTTTTGAGTTGTTTCATTCATCATCCACTTGGTAAAAACACTACTCAAATATATACTGTTACAACTGATATAAATAAGTTGAGTGTTAATTTACTGATACATTAATCTCCACTTTATTTTGTTAATTAATGCCACAAATTTTATATTTTTCATTTTATTGGAATTAAACCTTCTACAAATTACTCTTTTAAAAAAAATGTCTGCACATGACTATATTTTCTTTAATATTATAATAAATCAAAGTTGATCCGGATTGATGTAAAGACAGGTTGTCCTGAACACGAACAGCCAGTTTACAAGTTGTATATTATATATTTATGTATAACATAACATTACGTGCCGTTAGATATTCAGACTGAGAGAATAGCAAGGCTCCAGTAAGGAAGACTTTTTTCTGGGTTTTCTGAAATGGAGCTCAGCGAGATCTATAGAGCCGGTGGCAACAGTTTAAGAGCCGGTGGTAGCAGTTTAAGAAGCCAAAGTTCTTCACTATGGAGAAACAATACTATGGAGGTTTTCTCAAAGTCTTCAAGAGATGAAGACGACGAAGAAGCTCTGAAATGGGCTGCGTTGGAAAAGCTTCCTACTTATTCTCGATTGAGGAGAGGCATACTCACAACATCTCAGGGCCGTCCGAGCGAAATCGACATCGACAACCTCGGACTTAAGGAGAGGAAGGCGTTGCTTGAGAGGTTGATCAAAACAGCCGAAGAGGACAACGAGAGATTCTTGTTGAAGCTCAGAGATCGTATTGATAGGTAATAAACCGCGTGTTTTTCTTGTTTTATAGCCGTAGCCAAAACAGGGGAAGGCTGAGTTTTTCTCGGAGAAAGTAGATAATTATCGTTGTTTATTACTTTTGATTTATGATGTTTCTGATTTTCTTTGTATTGGATATTGGTTCTGATTGAAAAATTTTCAGGGTTGGAGTTGAGCTTCCGTCAATCGAAGTGCGATACGAGCATCTTAATATTGAAGCAGAGGCTTATGTAGGAAGCAGAGCTTTGCCGTCCTTCATCAACTTCATAAGTGGCATAGTCGAGGTAAACGTCTACAAAATTAGACCGTAAGGTCAACGCCACATAAAAAGAGAGAAAATATGTTCATGTTATTAGCTTTAATGTTCTTTACAACGACTTTTGTTCTCACAATTAATCTTTTTTCATTATTCAAGATTTTCTTCGGTTTTCTGCCAATTTTCAAAAGTAAAAAGCGACAGCTGACCATCCTTCAAGATGTCAGTGGAGTCATAAAGCCAGGAAGGTTAGAAATGGCGATTTTATTTAAAAATTTTTTTTATTCATGTCATACTCGCATAATTTCTTTGTTCTAAAGATCTATTGATGTTGGATTTTTTTTTTTTTCTTTTTTTTTTTTTTTTTTTTTTTTTTAAATTTATCAAATGTAAATTTTCAGAATGACACTGCTTTTGGGTCCTCCAAGTTCAGGCAAGACCACACTCTTGTTGGCTTTGGCTGGAAAGCTTGACTCAGAGTTGAAGGTAGGAGAGTTGACTTTGACAAGTTTCATTCTTTGATGGGATTTGAATGTCTAGCTTTATCCCAAATTACTTTGATTAATTTTAATCGCTAATACATATGAAAACCAAAATCTATGATTACAGTTTTCTGGGAGAGTGACTTACAATGGGCATGACATGAACGAGTTTGTACCCAGGAGAACTGCTGCCTATATCAGTCAATATGATAATCATATTGGAGAAATGACTGTGAGGGAAACTTTGGCTTTCTCCGCCAGATGCCAAGGAGTCGGGACGCGTTATGGTCAGTTTATTTTTCGAATTGCTTTGCTAAAAACAGGGTTTTATGTAAATTAAACACATGATATATGTTTGTTTGGAAATCTGCAGACATGCTTGCAGAATTGTCTAGGAGAGAGAAAGAAGCTAATATCAAACCTGATCCGGACATTGACGTCTACATGAAGGTGAGAAGTCAATGGTGCTCTACTTTTTTTTTTTTTTGGGCAATTTCCTTTTAAACTTAAAATACAAAATTAATTTAAAAGATGGCAAATTTACAAAAGTTTGACACTTGATGTTATTCAATTTGGTATGTTCTTCTACTGCAGGCAATGGCAGCAGAAGGTCAAGAGACAAATGTGGTGACAGATTATGTCCTAAAGGTGAACAACCTTTGGTACTACTTTATATGATCGAAGGATAATTTTCAAAAGAATTAGACAATTTCTATTAGTTCTTTAGTAACAAAGATTAAAATTTATCACAGATTTTGGGATTGGAAATTTGTGCTGACATTGTTGTAGGAGACGAAATGTTGAGGGGTATCTCTGGAGGACAAAGAAAGCGTGTCACAACAGGTATAAAAACAACAATTAATGTCAATTTAAAGACTTTTTTTTTTCTTAACTATAGTAGTAAAGCACTTAACAATTCAACTATAGGTGAGATGCTTGTTGGCCCAGCTGGGGCGTTGTTCATGGATGAAATTTCAACTGGTTTGGACAGCTCAACAGCTTATCAAATTGTGAACTGCCTCAAGCAATATGTACACATCTTTAATGGAACTACTGTCATCTCCTTACTTCAGCCAGCACCAGAGACTTATGACCTTTTCGACGATATCATTCTTCTATCCGATGGCCAAATAGTGTATCAAGGTCCCCGTGAATACGTGCTTGATTTCTTCGAATATACAGGTTTTAAATGTCCTGAGAGGAAAGGTGTCGCTGACTTTCTTCAAGAGGTAACGTCGAAGAAAGATCAGGCACAATATTGGGCACGAAGAGATGAACCTTACAGGTTTATCACTGTCAAGGAATTTGTTGAGGCATTCCAATCGTTTCACGTGGGACAGAAGCTAGGAGATGAGCTTGCAACTGGATTCGACAAGAGCAAGAGTCACCCAGCTGCTTTGACAACCAAAGAATATGGTGTGACAACGAAGGAGCTCCTCAAAGCTTGCATTTCAAGAGAACTGTTACTTATGAACAGAAACTCGTTTGTCTACATCTTCAAGATTGTGCAAGTGTGTGCTTAATTCCTTTGGTTTCCTACTAAAGTTTTTTTTTTTTTTTTTTTTTTTTTGGAATATGAATTTATAACTCTTTCTTCGTCCTCTTCTTTTAGCTTTGTATTATGTCGCTGGTTTCTGCCACAATTTTCCTAAGAACCGAAATGCATCGTAGAAACACAGATGATGGTAATATTTACCTTGGCTCTTTGCTTTTCTCTGTGATAATGATAATGTTCAATGGGATGTCGGAGCTTCCGATGACTATAGCCAAGCTTCCTGTGTTCTACAAGCAACGGGACTTACACTTCTACCCCGCTTGGGCTTATGCTCTTCCAACATGGATTATCAAGATCCCTATCTCAGTCCTAGAAGCAGTGGTTTGGGTGGCCCTAACATACTACCTTACAGGATTGGATCCAAGTATCTCAAGGTAGTCAAATAAAAAACACTGCAACTTTTTTTTTTATTTTTGAACTGAAAAACACTGAATTTAATTTCATCTGTTGAAGGTCTGCTTAGTTGTTCAATACTGGTCTCACTTGTTCATTATTTGTACAAATATTACAGGTTCTTCAAGCAATTGCTTCTGCTCTTTCTGGTTAACCAAATGGCCTCTGGTTTGTTCCGCGCTACTGCAGCTACTGCTAGGAACATGATTGTAGCCAACACGTTCGGGTCATTTGTGTTGCTCTTGCTCTTTGCATTGGGAGGCTTTATTCTGTCTAAAGGTACAGTGAACTAAGTTTACAAACTCATCAAAAGGGGACCGCTTCTTTTGTCTAAATGCATTCATTCTAATCGATATTTAATTGTATTTTTATGCTTTTATGCCAACAGATGATATCAAAGGCTGGTGGATTTGGGGTTACTGGAGTTCGCCTCTGATGTACGCTCAGACTGCGGTTCTAGTCAACGAGTTCCTCGGCAAGAAATGGAGACATGTAAGTCCTTGAAGTTGTTGGTCTGTGAATTGTGATCTCTGTTACTCGTTGGGAACTATCGTCTGACATTTTGAGAGTTTTTTTTATTGTAATAGCATGGACCAAACTCAAGTATGCCTCTTGGAGTTCAAGTCTTGAAGGTCCGAGGATACTTTGCTGAGGCAAAATGGTATTGGATTGGTGTGGGGGCGTTGATTGGATTCATCTTACTTTTTAATGTCTTTTACGTTATTGCTCTCACTTTGCTTAACGGTGAGTTTCCTCTATGTTTATTCACTTTTAAGAACTTAATAGTTAGGGAAAGAAGAAGAATAAAAAGAAAAGTTATATGACACTAATATGTGAATGTGCAGTCTTTGATAAGTTACGAGCGGCAGCTAAATCTGATGATCCTCAGAGTAATGAAGCCGTTGAGATGCAACAAAGAGCAGATAGCTCAAGCCACCACAGTCAGTTTGGTAAAAATGAGAACAGGAAAAGGGGAATGATTCTTCCATTTGAACCACATTCCATCGTCTTTGATAACATCGTATACTCGGTGGACATGCCAACGGTGAGTTAAAGAAGGGGAAAAAAAAAAGAAAAAAAAAGTGAACATTAGTAAGAGTCAGTAAATTATTATTAGGACAAATTGCACTTTTCCCCCTAACTATTGGCCTTGTAATAAAATGCCCCCCAAATTTTAAAAATAATAAAATTTCCCCGTGAACAATTAGCCGTTAGCACGTGTCTCCCTTTTTCGCTCTCTCGGTTAGATTTTGAACATTAAATGACACGTGAAAGTCGCTGAAGCATTTAATTTTTATTCTATTATGAAATGATGATTTTGCCCATCCAAGCCTAGCCTAAGATCACTACGAACCTATGACGATTTCCCTCTCCCCCTCTCTCCCTCTCATTCTCGCTTCCTCTCTCTCTTTGTTCTTTCTTTGCACGTGAAAAACCAAGCCCAACTACCACTTTGAGCCGCCACTATCTGGCCTCCGGCCGTCACCAAACGCTGGCCACCCATGGAGCCGCCAACAAAAACCTTCGGAACCGGAATCTTGCCGCCGATCTTACCGCCATTCACCTACAAGTGTCGGTTAAAGTTTTGGTCCATTTTGTCTCCACACCGAATTCCAACGCCATATGACCTCCGTTTTGCCAGCAAGTTTTACTAGTATATTCCCCTCACTGAGTGGAGCAAAAACCCACATGATTACTTCCCTTATCGGTGTTAAAGGAGCTCCGATGTACCGCCTCTGTCTATTTTGAGTTTTGAGCATTTTCTGGTGAACCGGGCGTCATTTGGAGAAATCAACTCCGGATAAGTGTTCTTGACTTTGAGATCTTCGATTTGACACACATCCCGCCGACCCCCCATCCTGGTCAATGCCGGTCAACGGCGGGTTTGACCAGTCAACGGCTGGGCTTGGATGGGCAAAATCGTCATTTCATGATATAATAAAAATTAAATACCTTTGTGACTTTCACGTGTCACTTAATATTCAAAATTTAACCGAGGGGCAGAAAAGGGGGACGCGTGCTAACGGCTAATTGTTCAGGGAGAAAATTTGTTATTTTTAAAATTTAGGGGGCATTTCGTTACAAGGTCATTCATTGAAAAGTGTTCATTCATTTCTAATGTTATACAACACTCTGTTAAATGGATGAACTGAACGTCTGAACCTGCAGGAAATGAAAAGTCAAGGAATTGAAGAGGATAGATTGGTTCTTTTGAATGGCGTGAGTGGTAGCTTTAGGCCTGGTGTTTTGACAGCACTTATGGGAGTTAGTGGTGCTGGTAAAACCACCTTGATGGATGTTCTTGCTGGTAGGAAAACCGGCGGATACATTGATGGGGACATCAGAATTTCTGGTTACCCTAAGAAGCAAGAAACATTCGCCCGAATTTCTGGATATTGTGAGCAAAATGATATCCACTCTCCGCATGTTACTGTTCATGAATCCTTGATCTACTCTGCTTGGCTTCGTTTACCAGCTGAAGTTGATTCCGAAACCAGAAAGGTTTGTGGTACCCCAAATGGATTTCTGTTTAGGCTTCATTTTCAATCATATATTCCAATGCAATTGTTAACTATGAACAATATGAACTGACTTGATAATTACATGATATCAACAGATGTTCATTGTGGAAGTGATGGAGCTCGTGGAACTTACTCCATTGAGGCAAGCATTGGTGGGATTGCCTGGAGTCAACGGTCTCTCAACCGAGCAGCGTAAAAGGTTGACTATTGCAGTTGAGCTTGTGGCAAACCCTTCAATTATATTCATGGACGAGCCAACTTCAGGGTTAGATGCTAGAGCTGCTGCCATTGTCATGAGAACGGTTAGGAACACAGTGGACACTGGCAGAACAGTTGTGTGCACCATTCATCAGCCTAGCATTGACATTTTTGAAGCTTTTGATGAGGTCATTTAAAGAATTGCTTTACTATTTCATAATTCTCTGTTTTTTTTTCTTGTGTTTGACAATTGAATTTGATTACTGATAATTAAATCATGAGGTTTGCAGCTATTCCTCATGAAAAGAGGAGGACAAGAAATATATGTGGGTCCATTAGGCCGCCATTCTTGCCATCTGATAAACTATTTTGAGGTAGGATTCAATTAAGAAAACGGGAGATCAAATCCTTGTGTCTTGTTTAAGTCAAACTTACTAATATTTATCCGTAAGCTCGCTAATACATTTACATTTTGTCATGAAGTCAATTGAAGGCGTGCCTAAAATTAAAGATGGTTACAATCCTGCAACTTGGATGTTGGAAGTCACTGGTCCTGCGCAAGAATTGGCTTTGGGGGTTGATTTTACAGATCTTTACCAGAGTTCAGATCTGTACAGGTCAGATTAGCATTTTCTTGCCAACGTTCATTATGAAATACATACATAGTTTATTTCATCTGGAAGAGGAAAATGTGGAAATCTGTGGCTGATAAAAAATCAAAAAAAAAAAAAATCCCAGGAGAAACAAAGATCTCATTAAGGAATTGAGCACCCCGGCACATGGTTCAAAAGATCTCTATTTCCCTACTCAATACTCGCAATCATTCATGACGCAATGCATGGCTTGCCTTTGGAAACAACGTTGGTCTTACTGGCGGAACCCGCCTTACACGGCCGTGAGATTTTTGTTCACCACTTTCATAGCATTGATGTTCGGTACTATGTTCTGGGACGTCGCATCAGATACGTAAGTCTCAAGTAAAGTGACACATAAAATATTTACTTTGGAACTCTACTAGTTAGCATGTTTCCTTAATCTGCAATTTTTCATGTGCACAATATCTGAACTTGAAAAAAAAAATTTTAAAATTAAAAATGCAGGAAGAAGGTACAAGATGTGAACAACGCGTTTGGGTCCATGTATGCCGCTGTTTTCTTCGTCGGAGTCCAAAATGCCATGTCTGTGCAACCAGTCGTTTCCATAGAGAGGGCAGTCTTCTATAGAGAAAGAGCAGCCGGCATGTATGCAGCATTTCCGTACACATTTGGACAGGTAACACAAATTTCTTACATATTATCTTCTTTAGAATGAAACCGTGATGAATGTCCCTTTTCAACAAATTTTTCAAAAAAAAAAAAATTTATTGTTTAGTTTTCTTTCTATTTTTTAAGTGCATCAATAATTCATTACGTTTCCATTATTGATTTACTTAATAGCTGACATGAATTTAAAAAAAAAAATGCATTTTCTGAAAATAGAGTCCAAAATTATCATGTTAAAAGTACAATTTACAGAGCTAACATGTGAATTTAGAGATCTAGGGCTTGTTCGGTTGCATTTTTTAGTTATGGTGATTTGAGTGTAGATCTTGAGTTGAATTTGAGTTGTAATTTGAATTGAAGTTGTAACTTGAGTTTGTGTTTGGATGTGCACATTTGAGTAATGATTTGAATTGAGAATCTCTATGAGTTTGTGTTTGAGTGGGTCAAAATTTGAATTTGTATTTAGATAGTATTTTAATAAAAACTCAATGGTGATGAAAAATTTTAATAGGGTATATAGATGGAGTTTTATTCGTCTTTTCATTGTGAATGCATAGAAAAAAAATCATCTCAATAAGAATTAAAACAAAAAAGTAATATCGTTTTTAAGAATAGAAAAAACATTGTTCGTTAACTTGAGTTTGAGTTTAAGAACTTACCCAAACTCAAGTTTAAATGCAAATTTTATAAATGAACATAAACTTGAATAAAGTTGTAACTTGAGTTTAAACTTTTTTTGAGTTTTACTCGAAAAGAACGAGCCCTAACTCTTTCTCTACGTAGTCATCAATCAACTCCATAACACCTAGACTTTGTTGTGGGCAGGTTATGGTTGAGATTCCATACCTTTTATGTCAGGCTGTAGTTTATTGCCTCCTAGTGTACTCAATGATCGGCTTCGACTGGACCGTCGCAAAGTTCCTCTGGTACCTCTTCTTCACCTTCTTCGCCTTGATGTACTTCACATATTACGGCATGATGACTGTAGCCCTCACTCCAAACGTCAACATTGCTCAAATTGTGTCGGCTGCCTTCTACGGCCTATGGAACCTCTTCGCTGGATTCATTGTTCCTCGCACGGTGAGATTAAAGTATCCCTTTGGTTCGTAGGTTTTAACAGAAAATCAATTTTTTTTCTACAGAAATTAAAGCAAAAAGATTTAAAAATTAAAATATGATCCAAATCTATGAACCAAACATGCTAAACGCTTACTCGTGATCTACAGTCCTTTGAGCACCTTCTTCAACACACCATACTAATGTTAAAAGCATTTAAGCTAAATAGATTCTCCGAAAAAAATTATGCTAACACCGCAAATATGTTACTTACCATAAATATTTTAAAATATGTTATTTACTGGAAATACTTTTAAAATGGCCTATCTCGTATAATTTACTAGTTTGTTGTTTTTTATTTGGTTCACGGCAGAGGATTCCAATATGGTGGCGATGGTACTATTGGGCATGCCCCGTGTCGTGGACTTTGTACGGACTTGTGGTGTCGCAATACGGAGAAATGAACACAGAGATTAACAATGTGACAGGCGAGACGGTGAAACAGTTTGCCAAACGATATTTTGGATATGACTATGATTTTCTAAAAGTTGTTGCTATCGTCAATGTGTCTTTTGCTTTTCTTTTTGCCATCATCTTTGCCTTTGCTATCATGGCCTTCAATTTCCAAAGGCGATAGAGACTTTCCCAGCTAATGTTTACTCTATGTCACTCTGTGTATACTTGGAACAAAATCTTTCGTTTCTTTTCTTGATTCTGAAAAATATATACTTCAACTTCCTGGCAATGGAAACAATGTATTGTGTAGTATTTAAATTAGCGTCCTATACTTTGTTTAAACTTTAGCCAATAAAGTGTGTATTTCTCTTATATTTAATAAACATTTGTCTAAAAACCTTTCCTGATTAATTAAGGCTTTACCTTTTTTTTTTCCCTTTCAGAGTTTGTCCATGTTAAGCAGTCTTAGTTATGTTAGATAAAGGTTACACGTGTAATGTTTTCATTGGGTTAGCTTGTTAGAGTTTGTTATCTACACTAACTTATGTATAAGTAAGTGGTTATAATAGAATTAGAGTAATGAGAATTCAAATTTTCTTTGTCACTCATCAATTCCACTTTCTCTCTCTAGAAACCGTCTGAGCTTGTTTCCTCACATGGTATCTGAGCTTTCTCGCCGATGACGGAGTTTCTTTTTCCGACGATCGCCATGGAAGATGTTGCGCCGACTAATTCTTCTTCTTCTCGATTTGTACCAGTTACTTTCTCACATCCTGTTGCGTCGAAGCTAGACAAAAATAAATTTTTGGTTTGGTGGGGACAGCTTCTCGCAACTGTTCGTGGTCATCGCCTCCAAGATTTTCTTTCAGATTCTGCACAGTCTCCTCCACAATTTCTTTCTCCAGCGGATGAGCTTCTTCGTGTGGTTAATTTAGCTTATGTAGAATGGGAGCAACAAGATCAGTTGCTCATGTCTTGGATGCTAGCTTCGATGTCCGATTCGGTTCTTGCTCGCATGGTTAATTGTGAAACAGCAGCTCAAGTCTGGCGTACAATTGAGGTATACTTCAGCTCTCAAATTAGGGCTAAAAAGTCTCAATTTAAAACTCAATTATAGAATACTCGTAAAGATTCTTTGTCTGTTAATGAGTATCTGCTTCGGATTAGGCATTTTGTTGATATGCTTGCTTTGGTTGGCCATGAAATTTCTACTAAGGATCACATAGATGTGATCTTCAATGGTTTACCTCCCAAATATGATATCTTAGAGATTAGTGTGAACTCTAGTTTTAATGACTATTCTGTTGAAGAGGTTGAGTCTCTCATTCTAGCTCAAGAAGTCTGAATTGAGAGAGTTGTTAAGCAGAGTGACAGTTTTAATCCTTCCCCGGGGCCTTCTCTGGCTAATCTTGCTATGACTAGTGCTTGACCTAATTCAAATTCACGATTCAATAGTTCTAATTTTGGTCATTTTCCTCATGGTTCCAATTATGTTTTCCCTGGGCATTCCTCTAGTGGTTTTCCTTCTAGACCTGGTCATTTTTCTGGTAATCACAACAGTAAGGCCAGAGGTTGTTTTGGTCACGATAGAGGATAGTCATGGAATAGCAACAAAATACAATGTCAGCTTTGTGGAAAACAATGTCATATTGTTGTACAGTGCTATTATAGGTTTGACAGGTCTTTCACTAGTCCATCTCAGTTCAATCATTATGTTCAAGGCAATTTAGCTCAATGTCCAAATCCAAATTCAGCTACTGACTCTACTCATATGGGTGCTTTGCTTGCTACTCCTGAAGCAGTTCTTGATTCAGCCTGGTACACTGATGATTCCTCTGACATGGAATGGTTTCCTAATTCAGGTGCTACTAACCATTTGACTGCAGATCAATCTAACCTCATGAACAGTGCTGAATTCTATGGTTCAAATCAGGTGCATATGGGAAATAGTAAGGGATTGACTATTAAACATATTGGTTCTTCCACTTTTTCTAGTCCTTTTGTCTCGTCTAAATCCCTCACTCTCAAACACTTGTTGCATGTTCCTAGAATTCGTAAAAATCTTTTAAGTGTCTCCAAGTTTGCAGCTGATAACAAAGTGTTTTTTCAATTTCACCGCACTTCTTGTTTTGTCAAGGATCTTATTTCCAAGATGGTTCTGCTTGAGAGTCATCTTAAAGATGGCCTCTATGTGTTTGACAAATCCCAGATCAACCTCAAGTCCACCGTTCCAGTAAACTTTCAAAATGTTTCTTAGTCTTGCACTTCTTTTCATAATTCTGCCAAGCCATCTATTTCATTGATTTCTGGTGTTCAAGCTTAAACTAGTATTGTTGTTAAGCCTTTTTGTTTTGAGCTGTGGCACAACAGATTAGGACTCCCTACAAATAAGATTGTAAAATTGGTATTGAATAGTTATAATCTCTCTGACATAAATAAAACTTCAACTGTTTCTGTGTGCAAGTCTTGTTGTTTGGGCAAAATTCATAAACTGTCATTTTCTCTCTCTCAAACTGTTTACACTAGTCCTTTACAACTTCTATATTAAGATTTGTGGGGTCCTTTACCTGCTTTATCTTCTAGAGGATATAGATACTACATTCATTTCATTGATGCTTACTCTCGTTTTACGTGGTTATATCTTCTAAGAACCAAATCTGAAGCCTTACAAGCTTTTGTGAATTTCAAAACACTAGTGAAAAAACAAATTGGTTTACTTATCAAATGCATCCAAACTGACTGAGGAGGAGAGTTTCGAGCCTTTACATACCTTTTAGTTCAACATGGAGTAGAATATAGGCATCCTTCTCTACATACACATGAACAAAATGGGGTGGCTGAGCGTAAACATAGACATATTGTTGAAAGAGGTTTAACCCTTCTTGCTCAAGCTTCTATGCCATTCAAATATTGGGATGAAGCTTTTTGAACTTATGTTTTTCTTATAAACAGATTACCAACACCAAATCTCCACAATAAAACACCCTTAGAAATCCTTTTTTGTACTAAGCCTGTTTACTTTCAACTGAGTTTTTGGTTGCACATGTTATCCTAACATTAGACCTTATAACAAAAAGAAAATACAGTTTAGGTCAATTCCATGTACTTTCTTGGCTATAGTATCAAACATAAGGGTTATAAGTGTTTAGATCCATCTGGAAGAATATATATCTCTCGGGATCTCATTTTTTATGAAACTTCCTTTCCTTTTATCAAAACTGTACATCCTATTCAACCGTGCTCTATTGAGTCCCATCAGTCTCTTCTCTCAGCACCACTCAGTGTTCTACCCTCTTTGTCCTCTTCTTCTTCTCATGGATCATCTTCCTCACACCTTGATTCAATCCATTCCTCCACTGTTATACCCAGTCCTCTTCCTACTGTGGCAGAACCTATTTATTTAACAACAATCTCGAATTAGGACTTGTGTGTGCAGGATCAAGATCACAGAACAACACATGTATCAACCTTACAGCCTTCTCATTCAATGATGACATGCTCCAAACGAGGCATTTTTAAACCCAAAGTGTACATGGCAACAAGAGAGCATCATACAGTTGAAGAAGCTTTGGAAGCAACACACTGGAAACAAGCTATGACATATAAGTTTCTTGCTCTTCAAAGAAACAACACATGGAGCCTTGTCTCATTACCTCATGGCAGGAAAGCCATAGGTTGCAAGTGGGTGTTTAGAGTAAAAGAGAATCCAGATGGCAGCATAAATAAGTACAAGGCGTGACTTGTAGCTAAGGGGTTTCATCATGTGGCAATATTTGATTTCACTGAGACATTCAGTCCAGTGGTAAAACCTACCACCATTCGTGTGATTCTCACTCTCACACTAAGCAGGCGGTGGTGTGTGAGACAACTTGATGTGAATAATGCCTTTTTAAATAGGGATTTACAAAAGTAAGTGTTCATAGAACAGCCTGCAGGCTTCGTTGATCAACAACATCCAACATTAGTTTGCAAACTTCACAAGTCACTCTATGGCTTGAAACAAGCTCCTCTGTGGCTTGAAACAAGCTCTAAGAGCTTGGTCTGAAAAGCTTCATCATGCACTGCTTCAACTTGGTTTTCACTCAACCAAGTCTGATCAGTTTCTCTTCATTCAAGTCACGTCAAAGTGGACTATATACATCCTTGTTTATGTGGATTATATACTAATAACAAGAAGCAATGAATCAACAATCTAGGAATTGTCCACTAAGCTCAATACTACTTTTGCCCTCAAAGATTTAGGAGAGATTAATTATTATCTTGGTATACAAGTTGCAAAAACAACTCAAGGCTTATTTTTATCTCAAAGGAAGTATGTGACTCATTTGTTATGTAGAACAAAGATGCAGTTTGCAAAAGGTGCTTCAGATCCCATGACCACAGGACAAAAACTTACTTCTTTTGGCAGTGATCAAGTAAGTAATGTCCAATTATATAGAAGTGTGGTGGGTGCATTGCAATATATGACAATCACAAGGCCATAAATCTCCTACAATGTTAATAAGGTTTTCTAATTCATGCAAACACCTCTAGAAGCTCATTGGAAGGCTGTAAAGAGAATTATGAGCTATCTAGTCGACACAATGGATTATGGTCTTCATTTGAGAGAACGTCCTACAGAAAGACTGGATTTGGTCAGCTTCTGTGATGCAGATTGGGTATCAGATGTTGATGACCGAATATCAACATCATGTTGGTTACCGAATCGAATTCAGATGCGGAATCGTGGAGGTGGCGAATCAAGTATAATAAAAATTTTCACAAAACTTTTGAGATACTCTATAGATTATATTAATTTATGCACGAATAAATTAATCATATTAATTTATATATTAAGAACTCAATTAGAAAAAATACCTAGAGGCCGACTCGGTTGATAACTTAAGTTCTTTGACCTCGAACGATCCTTGCTCCAAAGCCTTGGGTTTAGAAAACCAAAGTCTTCCACGTCAATTCCTTGAATCTACTAGACATATGTGTGGGCACACTCGAGACAAAATCGGGTTGGAACAAACACTCGAATTTCCACAAACACCAACGCATGCACGATGTGGAATTTTTGGGAGAAAAATTTTTCCTTCTCTCTTTTCTTGGGAATTTCGGCCAGCCCCAAAAATTAGGTCAAAAAATTGTCACGTGCAATTTTTATCATATCTTATTTATAGAGTAGAAGTCAAACTTCTATAAGGAATCAAATCTCTCTCTCCTATTTGAATTTGGAATAAAAATTCTCCTCTACCTTATATCCTTATGGCCGGCCAACTCTAGGGTTTCTATCCCTGTGTGTGGCGCCAATTCCAGATAGGGAAGGAAGAGAAAATCATTCTTTATCATGTAGTCCAATTTTAAATCAAATTCAAATTCGAATTTAAGTCAAACTTA